TCCGGGAACTTTCCGGACAAACTGTGTAATACTGTGTTATCGCCTGACCGACTCAAACCTTGGGTTAAACTTGTAGCGACNAGTCAGGATTAATTCTTGCGTACATTTATTAATTTCTTGCGTTCTAAATTGCGTATTGTTAACTATGTTGTAAAGATTAAAAAAAAAAATAAAAAAAACCTCAAATACCTCATTCCTTTCGTTTTTGCGAGAGTATATAAAAGAAAATTTTATTTTATTGTTAAGCGTTTGATTTGTATTTACACATGTATGTTTGTGGCGAAGGAAGATTTTTACAAATATGTTTTCTTATGCATATTATATATTTGTTACAGCGTTATAAGCGGCGTTCGAGGCGAACTCTGTTTCAGGATGGTCGAGCTGTAAGTTTATCTAGTCATGTTTTCATAATACAGCTGATCTTGAGGTCGCGTGAGCCGCGATGATAAACATGTTTGTTACCCGATGATTGCGTGGCCCAATCGCTCTTCGACAGGTATCTGTGAGAGCGGGATACAGCGCTCACGTGCGAACCTTCCTCGGGAGCGATAACGTTTTGCTGTTCAGAGCATTTCCGAGAAATCAGCTGTTAACAAGTATTTGCGTTGTCGCCTGATCTACGAACGGAGATCGTTTTCCGTGTCGTGCCTTTTTGTATAAGCTCTTACTTTTTCTAAGTCTTTACTAATCGTGTGAATAAACTATAATTCTTTATTGTGTTATTTAAATATTAACTGAACAATTTATTTAATCAACCCCGGTCATTCCTTACAGTTCTTTCAAAAAAATAAAATACGCGATTTATTTGCGATTATATGTATGTACTATGACGGGTACCTCGCTTTGAGATCTTTTAAGGTGCTGCACACCTTCGGCACGTCTTTTGTCAGAAATCTCGAATTTTACTTACCGAATCAGTTAGTTGAGTGCCAGGCGTGAATTTACACGCCAAATTTAACAATCTCAACGCTAATTAAGAGAGCTCCTCAAATAATTTTGACGTGACGGTATAGCTCAGTTTTATAAACACTAACGGAGAGGCGTGGAGGCGGTGTTTAAATGAAGATTTTTAAATAAAGGCAGAGAAACTTGCTCGTTGATTGATAATTAGAATAAAATTTAATAGTAACAACTTGCAACGAGTCTGGCCGGTCGCCGGTCAGAACTGATATCGGCAGACAAAGAAACCATACAATAAAAGACGTGGTAAAATGCTACATATGTGGCACGACTATAACCGGTAGCCAAGTTATACGATGTAGTTTTCTTTATAATATTTCGTAACTGTGTGTCCGTATTCTAAGATATTATCGCGCGAAGATGACCGCGAGATGTAGACGCAGGAATGCGCTGTCGCACGCCAGGCCTTAGATAAGGCGCACAATAGACGCGCGGTCCTTATTCGACGCGAGTGAGACAATTAACGTGACACACTGTCGCGGTCCGTCGGTCAAAAATTTTCGACAATATGCAAAATTTCTTAAGTCGATGTTCGGAAAAATACAAAGACATGATATTCAATATTTCAGAATCACACGCGCTGAGACTATAACATAAACGGACGAGATTGGCACGAACAACAACAAAAATGAAAATAAGATATACACGAATGACGAGCAAAGATAAACCCGGATTGTTGCGACCGCGACTGATCGGGACGAGAGCAGCGGCAAATAAAAGTCGATAATTATTCTTATTATTGATCAACGCAAACTGCAATACACTATATTTTCGGCAACATATCGCGCGATATCGAACTCGCGGGGTAGCCCGTCGAAATTCGATTCACGAACAATATAAGTCGCGAGAG